TCACCCCACAGTATAGAAGTCTCCTAAAGCTTTTAAATTTTTTTAGTATTCTTGAGTTTGGGCAGCATTTTATTTCTTTCAATATCTGTAATTCATATTCTCTTAAATTAGACCCAAGGTAGCTCACAGAAGATGATTTTTTTTTTTAAAAAAAAGCGCACTTTTAACACACAGTTAAAAATATAACATTAAAATAATTTTGGATACTGTTAAGGATGACAGAAAGAAAGGCATACAGATTTGTCTAGTGGAGTGCAATCTACTGGGAAGCTTTTCCGGTTCAGCTTCACAGAAGTGAACTGGAACTCCAATCTTGCCCTATGTTAGTGTGTTTTGCTGAGATGGGTCATTTGAATTCTCCACCAGCATGTATCGAGCTGACCCTGATCAATGCTGTAACTCTAAGCATACTTTATTGGAAATTAGTTGGACCTATTTCATCTCAAATGTATTAAAAGACTGAGCAAGACCAGTATTATTTCAGGTTGGGAGATATGTGTATACACACATACACACACACACACACACCATATCTAGGTTGCTTATAAGTTAGTTATCTGATGGTATTGACTTAATGTAATATCAGGTAACAACATTTCTGCTCAGCAGGCAATTTACTGTTGTACCAGAGTAAATTGGCAGGATGTGTGATTTATTAAGACAATAAAAAGAAGTACTGGTAGAACATTTCTGTTCCTTATTGTTCCTTGAGTCTACACCTGTCAACCACTATATATCTAAACATAGGACTCAAAATTAGGAACATATACAACCTCTACATTGAAACGAGAAATGCAAGATATGTATCTCCTGCAACAGACAAAAGTACTGTAATAACAGGGAATCTTTGCAATTTTTTTTTATAGAATATCATAGAACTAGAGGTGTCCCTATTCTATATAAAAGGATTTTTGTCAGTGTCTGTGTCCTTGGCATTACATAAACATTTCTGCATTGTCCTTTGCTACCCTTATACCCTTATATCTTTATATACATACTAATCAGGCTTTAGGGTTTTTACATTTTGCAAAATATAAAAGAAATTCTAATGGGTCAAAATACTAATGTAGTAAAATGAGTATAGCTGTAGACCAGGGGTCCCCAAACTATGGCCCGTGGGCCGGCCCCGTCCTGTTGAGGCCTTCTTACCGGCCCATGGCCGGTCCTGCCGCCGCCGCCTGCGCACGCCACCAACCACCATTTTGTCTTCCAAAATGGCATCCGGAGTTGTGTATGCAGCCTACTCCAGGTGCCATTTTGGAAGATAAAACGGCGCCGGAGTAGTGTGCATATGACGCGGGGCACCATTTTGTGTTCCAAAATGGCGCCCGGAGTCATGTGCATGCTTGCGCAACGCCGGGCACATGCTCACAACTCTGGGCGCCATTTTGGAATACAAAATGGAGCCCGAGTCATCTGCATGCGTGCGCGCCTCCGCCCCCCCCCCCGAGATCTGGGGGCCTGCAAACCGGCCCCCAGATCAAAAAGTTTGGGCACCCATGCTGTAGACCAAAATATCCAGAGGTGCTAATCCCAATTTTCCATACTGGATAAACATTTCTTAAGTAAATCCTTTTGAGTCAGGGAATCTACAGTTGGGGAAGGCTGCCCTTGGATATGCTATGTCTCGGATGAAATAGCACAACATATTGAAAGCCATATAAGATCTTATAATGAAAGTAGCATCCTTTCTTCTTTTCTTCAAGCAAGCACCTATATATCTCAGTGGGTTTTTCCCTATTAAAATAAAATAAATAAGTCTTTCAGAAATGCAGTGTTATGACTTTGGCTTGGCTTTCCATCATGGCATTTCTTCCCAATAGACGATACAGAGCATCCAGTGCACTCATTCATGAAAGGATTCCTTGTTAAAGATACAAACTTTAGCATGTCCATGCACACTAGCTTATAGTTTGCATTTCTCTCTAAGTGTTCAAGCACAGCACGTATTAATGTAATTTCCTGTTTGTCAGTCTTAACTACACCCTCTCTTCCTACATCTGCTAGTTTGAGTTTGTTCATCCTCTGTGTTTTAGTTTGCACTGTCTGTCTCCTCCATGTTTGAAGACCACATATTGCAGAACTTCTTATCATTAGATCTTATAAAATTGTTTGTATTTGTTAGTAAATTATATATTTTTGACAAAGAAGGTGGGACTGGTCGTTGCTCATCTGTTGCTTACAAATACTAATTATTCTGCTTGTGAGATACACTACTATTGCTCACAATCAACAACATTCTTGTGACTCAGTCAGACATTTAAATATATTATGCAGGCATCCCAGAGGAAATAATTTCTTGAATTATTCTTACATGAAGTATATGGGGGAAGACCATGTAGTCATAGCTTTCCAGATAGTACTTGTTGTGTGGTTTCCTGTAGGTATGTCTCCCTACCTCTCAGAATTGGCTGCAGGTGCATTGCAGTGATCCTTATATTGGTGAAAGCACATGTTCTCATGCAGCTGCTTCAAAGCCTACTGTTCCATCTCACTGCTATCATTTGTGCAAACTCACTGTAATATTCTAGGATGCCTCCTGATGCCTTGTTTCTTTATTTTAAAGATGTCAAACCTGTCAAGCTGACTTCGACTTACAGTAACCCTATGACCTCCAAGTCAATGTATGTCATTTAAACACTTTTAAACATCTTTTCTTGTTTCCAATGCATATGTATGTCTAATAATGAAAGATAACACTTCATAAAGTAGTCTCCTGTTAATTAAAGAATATGTTGCAATAAAATTGTTGGTCTTCAAAACAGCACAGGGGTTCTTGTTGTTTTCCCTCTACTAAGATCAGGGGTGAGGATCTTAACATTCACGTATACTTCATCTGTTTTTATGGGAATTCAGCAAACCCTGTGTCCTTTCACAATGTATCATGTGGTAGGATGCTGAAGAAATATAATTAATTTAATTTGCTATGTGATCATAGAAGCTACTGCACAAACTGCACAAACCCTCTGCCAGTAAGCTGTGATGAAGCTATGCAGGGAAACTATAGCCATTACATTGTTTTCTTATTAAAATGTTTTGCTAATTAGTACTGGGAAATCATTCACTTGACGACAGCATCATCAGCTGAAACTCTTAGTCATATGTTCTATAAAAGTACTGTAATCTGATAGTCACCTAAAATGATTATGATGTTTTTTGTGCTAAGAGGAGCATCACCAACCACAAGTAACTGAAAAGCAGGGTCCAGATCAGAGATGGAAAATTGTGGATGCCAGGAGATATAGGGGTCAACTCTCATAATGCCTCACAATTGGTTATTCTGGGTAGAGCTAATGGAAACTGTAATCCAAAAATTACTGGAGGAATACCACTGCTCACTCTGGTCTAGATTAATGAAAATAAATAGAGAACTTCAGGTGTTTTGTTCTTTGCAGGTGGTTATAGGCAACCCCTGCTCATCTACAACAAATGACAGTGAAAGCTGATAGTCATATGAGAATTCGACTTCAGGGTGAAGAAGGAAGACAACTGGCCTAAATTTACATTACTCACTTAGGGAATGTCTATACTTACCATAAAATCTGGGTAAGTCCTGGGTTTTCCAGATTCAAGTGACCCTGGACTACACTACACTATTACTATGGACATAAAGGCAAATTATGGTAAATTCAGCTTAATTGGCCACAAATTCCTCCATTCCAAGGTCATCTCAAGCTAGTTTCCTGGAATCATTTTTGGCAACATGTCCATGGCTGCTCTGCTTTATTATTATTTTTTTTCATGTCTGTCAAGCATGTGAACATACCCATTTCTGACAGGATCCAGCACAGTCCTCTGCCTATAGATACCTTAGGACAGGGGTAGGCAACCTTTTTGAGCCAGGGGCCGGGTTGCTGTCCCTCAGACAATTGGGGGGCTGAAGCACCATAAATAAATAAATAAATAAATATTTTTTAAAAATATGCATGCACACTCTCTCAGCCCCAGAAAAGCCATGGCAAAACCCCTGTGGAGAATTTGCCAAGAAAACCCCAAGGACAAGTAATAACAACAATAATCAATATCATGATGGCAGGCGGCGACGGCGGCAGCAGTGGCAGCAGGACCGGCCTGGGGCCGGTCCAGAGGCCTCGGGGGGCTGCATCCAGCCCCTGGGCCTTAGGTTGCCTACCCCTGCCTTAGGAGGACTGTCTTTCAGCCATCACTAAAGCTAAGCCAAGCAATTAATCAGAGATGTGCATATACAGGGATAAATAGCTACCAAGTAAATATACTGTTACCCAATTGTGTGCTTAAATGCAGCACCCTTTTAAAAATTGCAAATGAGCCACTTAAACCTCTTCTTGATTTTTTTTTTTGAAAATTGTCACTTCCTGGCAGGAATGATCATGTGACCACTAGACCCTATCTGTACTACTCCAATCAACACAAGTTTCTCCCTCTGCTGCCAATGCCACATATTCACTTATCTGAACTTTCCAAGAAACTCCAATGAAAATCTAGATTATTTTTTTCTGCAAATTAAAGCCCTGCAGATTGGGAATATGACTTTGGGAGACCAGGATTTGATCCTGGCTCAACCATGGAAACCCACTGGGTGACCTTGGGCATGTCACAATATTTCATCCTCAGAGGATGGCAATGACAGACCCTCTCTGAAGAAACTTGCCAAGAAAACTTCATGATAGGTTCACCTTAGGGTCACCAGAAGTCAGAAGAGACTTGAAGGCACACAACAAACAAGTGTGAAGGCGCACAACAACAACAAATTTTCACTGAAATCAAAGGGACTGAAGTTAATCATTACTAATCAACTTTCAAAAAGATATTCACTTAAAACATACAGCATTGTTTTAATATTAAATATGTGCCAGTCAAACCATTTTGTTGTTGTTGTTGTGTGCCTTCAAATAGTTTCTGACTTATGACAACCATATAATGGGATTTTTCTTGATATGTTTCTTTAGAGGAAGTTTGCCATTGCCATCCTTGGAAGGTAAGAGTGTGTGACTTTCCCAGGGTCACCCAGTGGGTTTACATGCCCAAACCGGGATTTGAACCCTGGTTTCCAGAGTCATAGTCCAATGTTCAACCCACTATACCATGCTGGCTCTCCAAACGATTATATATATATTTAATATTCATCATCAGGGAAAAGTAGGCATTTCAAAACCCTTTCTTATAGTAGCTTTAAGTGAGAATGCTGCTTTATCTACTTTGGCTCAATTGTCATATTTTTCCTTTCACTCAATACAATTATCAACTTTGATCTTAAAACAAATCAGTTTTTGACCTGCTTGAAGCAAACCATAAAATGGTGAATTGATTCACCGACCCAGAGTGAAAGCGAATTGCAAACTGGTTTAAATGTAAGTGGGAATGAGCCCAAAGTAACCATGGGTTATCATATAGCATAATCTGGAAAGGTCCACCCCACTGATGCAACTCTCTAGAGTTGTGCATGTATGTTACACCTTCAAACACAAATTCAAGCTGCATTTTCTTACACACTGGCCCCTTTCTGCTTTCCTTTTTCCAGCAGGCAAGGACCTTTATGTTTAAGCAGGCTATTAAGCAGTGCTCTGAGGGAGGCTTCTTATTGAGATGTGCACTTTATTTATTTTTTAAACGTTAGCATCATTTAAAAATAATTTTATACTGTGTTCAATCAGATAATTTTAATTGTTTTAAAAATTGTATTGCTATTATTTTCTCTGTGAGACAACCTGGGAAAAAAGTGGCATGTAAAGCAGACAGACAGATTATAGGTAGGTAGAACTGAAACTTGCCTGCTCTGCAGTGAAATGCTATTCCATTGTTGTCATTGTAAGTATGAACTTTGTACACTCATAAGTGTGGCATCACACACAGTGTGTCAGACCACTTCAATTCAATTAGATTTTTAAACACTTCTCATTGAGTTTAAAGTTCCCTGCAGCAGCTGTTATGAATTGTTAGCCATGGAGACATTCCCTCATTGTCCTCTGCTATAAACACTCTTATACTCACTGGCTGAGACTGTGCATTGGGAGATGTACATGTACCACATAGCTATGTCTCTGTAGTTACATCTTCTGATGCTGTCCTCTCCATTTACCTTGTAAGCAGTGCAGTGCCCTCCAACATGGCCTTTTCCAAGATATCAGAGAGTGGGGGAATTAGTGAGGATGTGTCTAGCTATTTCTTGTAGTTGGACAAGCTACAGCAGGCTTCTGCAGACACCTCCAGGGATCTTTGCAAGCTCTCTCCAGATGACATCCTTGCTGCAAGGAAATAGCTGTACACACCCCCATTCATCCCTCACTTTCTGACAACACAGAAATGGCTGTGTTGGGCTGGGATGTGCTGTTTATAAGGTGAGTTGGGGGGATTTGGGTAGTTGGGTGGTCAGAACTGAATTCCAGCCTATGCAATGACCATAAAAGTGAGTTGCGCTGCTGTACACTTGACTTATGCCACTGTACTTCACTAAAAGGTGGGTGCCAGCCATTATTTACTTATTTGCTGTTGGTAGATGGCCTTTGAGCCTGACCCCTGTCTCAGGTGCATCCTGGCAAGAGCTTGTACTGACATGAACCCTGCTTGCTAGCTGATGCAAAGCCACCAGCCTATGCTTTACTCACCATAGCAACCAAAACCTACTGATCAACATTATTCTGTTTCATGGGCTGGGTTGCCATGGAAAAGTACTTGTGTCATATTGTTAGGTGAGAAAAGAAGGCACTTTGTTTTTCTCTGAAAAGAAAACATAACAAAATGATCAAACTTGACCTCCAAAGCAGTTGCTAAGTTTTGGACCTGCTCAAAGCAACTGATAAAGAGTGACCAAAAGTGTCGCAGATAACACAACCACAGCAAAGGGGCTGGAGAGTGGGAGTTTTCACACATATTGCAATTCCTATTCCATCAGTGGTTTTGTTGCAGTGTTGTTGTTGTTGTTGTTGTAGTAGTAGTAGTAGTAGTATTCTGTTTCAATCTCACTCTCAAACTTGCTTTTTATTCTCTACATGTGGAAGCCCTCTTAAATGGCAAGAGATCAAGGTCCACTGGGGGACTTTTGGAAAACCTAATAGAGAAGAAAAGAGATTGTGATCCCACAACCTAAACAAAAACAAGAACCATCACAGAACCAGTATGCACTCACTGGCTAAGTGCAGGGTCACATGAACCATTTGAGTAGACCATGGAAGCTGAGCAGAAAAATTAATGTGCTTACTTTATGTCTGTAAATTGCCCTGTGAGGATATTGTTAGTTGGGTAGTAAAGACTTTAACCAAACACTCCTTAACTTCATGGACCCAGGAACAGTGGTATGAGGGCTTGAGCTCCTTGAAGTCTAGGCTTGGGGGTTCAACCCCCCCTAAAGTGAAGCTGCAAGGATCAGGGCCACCAAAACTCCTCTGAAGGTGAGCCTTTGGAGGAACTACCAGTCAGAAGTAACCTAGTTTATGTAGCCATTTTTGCATTTGCTTTATGGGGCCTTATATATTTTCTCCTTTCCTTGATATATTAATGTTATTCTTTAAATAATTTTATAATATCTAATTTATTGTGTTGTCATTATCTGCATGGTAGTCACGTTGTTAATTGCTTTACTTGTTATTGTTATTATTATTATTATATCTTGTCTTTTTATTATTTTGTAAAACATACATGCCATTATGAAAAATTCATTATGATCTGTCTGCCAGTCTTGAGATCCTCACCCACTTTAAAAAGTTCTAGGATCCCTGCCCAACTTGGCATTCTCCAAATGTAGTAGACAATGACTCTTATCTTCTCCAGCTTGTTTTGCAGGGGTTATTATTACTACTGTTGTAGTCATTATCATTATTCATACACCACTTCTTCCTCAAAACCAGACCTCAAGGTGGCTTATAAATTAAAACAAATGCAATATAGTGAAACCATACTTTCCCCCCAACATTTAATGTAATTAACTTGTTAGCAACATTAACATTAATGGGTTGATGGGACTTGTAATCCAATGTATCTGAATGGTGCTGAGTTGGGAAAGACTAGTGTGTGCAAAAGCGGTGCTGTCATTCCTATGGTGTGGCATTCATGGACCTGTGAATAATACAGGAAAACTGGTAGGAATATGAGGCTGAAATATCCCTTCAGTTGTTTGTGTTAATGGATGCTGTTAACTATTGGCTTAGATTTACATACTGCCTTTCTCCCAGAACAAAAAATTTAACTAAAAAAATTACAGATAAAAACATAAATCATAAGACTAAAACACCATTAAACAAATTATAACATTAAACACATTGGAAATGAAAGCAATCTAAAAATGTATCAATTAAAATACAGCACCCAGGTAATGAAAACACTCTCTTCTATAAGGAATTAATTGACCAAAGACTAAAAGGCGTTTTCCTAGTAGAGGAAGGAGAACAGAGATGAGTAAAACAGGAATAGAAAAAGGGATGGCATAAAGGAGAAATATAGCAGCACCTTTAAGGTTGATTTATTTTAGCATGAGCTTTCATGGATTTCAATCTACTTCTTCACATGCATTTCATACCAAGCCTCATACCAAGCCTCAAGAACATTACATAGTTGTCAGGATGGGATCAGAGTATAACAGGATACAAAAAGAAGCAATTTATGACACTGGCCATAAACCTTCAATAAACCTTAATTAACTTCATAAATCTTTATAAACTTTTGTTGTTGTTGTGTGCCTTCCAGTCATTTCTGGTTTACAGTGAAGCCATCACAGGGTTTTCTTGGCAAGATTTATTCAGGAAGGGTTTACCATTGCCTTGCTCTGAGGCTGAGGGAATGGGATGGCCAAGGTCACACAATCGGTTTTCATGGCTGAGTGGGGATTTGAACTCTGGTCCCCAGAGTCCTGGTCCTTCATACAAACCACTGCATCATGCATGCTCTCTCTCCCCTCAACTCCCCCAAGCCCCCCCCCCTCAACTATGTAAATGTTACTATAATTATGGTTGATATTTTGTTTATTTTTATTTATTACCAGGATTTATATCCCGCCTTTCTCCCACAGTAGGATTAAGGGCAGGTTGATTCCATCAGTGCATTTAAAGAAATGGATTGAAATTAATGAAAGCTCAAGTTAAAATAAATCAAGTTGCTGCTACATTGCACTTTCTCTTTCCTTTTTATTCTGTGACAAATATGATTATCTCTTTGAAAAAGGTGGCAGAAAGCCTCCCTGTGGCAGGAAAGCCTCCCTTGAAAGAAGATAATTAATTCTCAGATAGGCATCTCTGGTCTTGGTTTATATAAAGGAAACCTTCACAATGCCCATCAATCCAAAAGGTCCTGAATTAGCATTTAGAGAGAAAACAACAACAGGTGGGGTTTTGATTGACAAGGCTTGCACACACGTGCACACACACACACAATACATGGCCTGTGATTTGCATTAGAGATAAATAACTTTGCCTCAGGAATCTGCTTTTTAAAAGAAAGACTACTGGATATGATTTTCAGTCCTATGTATGCACTTATGACTCATCAGAATGAGTTGAGTGAAACTGCCACATTGAAATATGTATCTCAGTACATAATTCCCACAGATGGTGGTTTTTATCAATGTGTCCCATTATAAATTTATAAGATGGGTTAAGCAGAGATGCCCCCCTTATTTAAATCCTTCTTTATCCAAGAATCCATAGAATGGAAGCAAGCAGTTAAGGGGTAGGCAACCTTTCCCCTTTAAGGGCCGAGGGACTTCAGCTCCCAGAATCTCAGGAGCTATTGGCCAACATGGGACTATTGGCCAACATGGCTAAAGCTTCTGGGAGCTGAAGTCCCTCGGCCCTTAAAGGGGAAAGGTTGCCTACCCCTGGGGGTGCCTTGGGTTGTGAAGAAAGGTAATGAGGGCCTGAAGCATTTGTATTTCAAAAGTAACACAATGAGTGGGAAGGCCATATTCACTAATGGCACTACAATAATAGTAATCATCATCATCACTATTGACTAGAGATGATGAGAAAACATATTCTACTTACTTTTAATAAGTACTTCAAAGGGCATTTTAAAGCATTGTAGCAGCATTTTAACACACTGTTTCCAAGGTTTATGCCCTTATAAAAACAATCCATGATATCTGGAGAGTGAGAGTGAACAGCAC